TCGTGTAAGTTGATGTTTCCTTATGTAAAATACAGAATACAGGTTCTAAATGAGATTATAAACACTAAATATAAGAAACTACAAAGAAAGCAACTGTATTCTTAAAATATTGACATCATATTTTAGAGACCAACTTATAATTAATTATTTTTTATTTCAATGGTTTACATTTAATCATTAACTTCATCTATCATTCGAAACCTTCATAAGTTAAATATAAATGGTAAAATATGCCCAATTTTTATGCCATAAAAATGTATATATTTCGAAATTAATTAATTTTGTATTTCTAAAAGCTTATTCTCAGACGTTTATCAATAAAAACAACAATATTTTACCATCGGTAAAAATGTAACGATGTTCAAAACAGAAAATCTACATAAATAAAAATATGTATATTTTAAAGGGTTGAATAGTTAGTTTTAACTACAGTCTTAGTAAATATTTTGAATAAATTAATACGTCATTCCTACCTTATACCTTTTGTCATTTATTTTTGATCCAATATAACTACTGAACACGTAAGTAGTTTGGATTCATAAACAATACTTAACATTTTCAATGTCGGAATTCTGTTCTTTATCATGAAGAAAATGTTGTATTTCAGATTCAACTTTACAATTTTTGAAGAGATTTAAGAAAATAGGTTCTCCGAATAAGTTTAAAAAACATGGATATAAGTTCTGTGAAGAAAGGTACAAAACATGGAATTAAGGTTCTGTGAACAAAGTTACAAAACATGGAATTAAGGTTCTGTGAACAAAGTTACGAAACATGGAATTAAGACTCTGTGAACAAAGTTACACAAGGAGGATAAAGGACTCTGCAATGAAGGTTTCACACTCGAATGTAAGCTGTGAGAACTAGGTTACTCATCATGAAAATAATCCTATGAACTAGGTTAAACGAGATGGAAATAAAACTCTGTGGCTAAAGGAAAAATATGGAAATAAGATTGGGAAAAAGCTTACTCAAGATAAAATAAAGCTCTGGGAACAATGTCACACAACAGGGGAATAGGGCTTAGTGATCAAGATTACATAACATTGAAATAAGGCTCTGTGAACAATGTTACACAACTGATGTCTGACTTGGTCAAAAGGCTTGGCAATAATGGTTTCACATAATTTTATTTACCTAAAGCATAATGATTTGTGAATATTAACATACGAAGATAGTTTCTTATCATGTTTAAAATATAATACAAATATAAATTAACGAATAGGTTGTATAAATTATACGTTCAGTGTACACTAATATAAAGAGAGTATATGCAGTAGATATACACATATGTATTATCAATGCATGATGTTTAAGAAATATTTCTCTAATTATTCTACTTCTACATTTCTTTTCACACGTTAGCTCAAACACATTTCACGAAAATCACAAACTTTATAACATATGAATGTTTGTTATTAATCCTTTATGTATTATAACATAACTTAAAGTGAACAAATATCTTAACAGTGTAATAAATTTAAAATATTTTAGTTTTGATCACGGCAATCGACTTTCAATCTGCAGGTCGTGGGTTCGAATCCCATCATCAAATCAGAAAATGACGATTGTCTTAACCTACAATATACAAGAGTTCTTTATGTATAATTAGTTGTATTGTAAGATAAATATAGTAATGTAAGTATGATACGTAACTGATATGATGATAACTTGGCTATATAGTAAAGTTATTGTTGTTGATGATCATATATGTTTAAATATGAAGATGGTTATTTAAAGAAGTTATATCTATGATGAAAGTATTAAAACGTGGGATTTTTCCCTGGAGTGTAGAAAAAGTTCAGACGACTTGATTTATATGTTTAAAACAGTCATTAGCCATAAATGTGGATGATAAACTTATAGGGCTAATCATAGTGGGATATTGGTAATACTGGAAGTAAGTTGATAAATGTTAAAAGTTATAAGTTTAGACTGTGGACGTTCATGTTTAGAAGCTGTAAATTTGGTCAGCTAATAGATTCAATTTGTACGAAAATAGGTTAATTTCGGATAGAAAACAAAACAGTCTTTATTTTTATTGAGTTGGAAATGACTACAATTAACCATAAAGATGTTATTGTTCTAACATAAAACATGTAAATGTTTTTAAACTGTAAACACAAATGTACTACCAACACTTTGGCTAGAAATAATTTTAAGTAATAACCAGATGAAAGTATAAAATTTAAATTATTCTGTTGAATTTATCGTTTATTGAAAGTTGCTACAACTTTAAATAAATTTATAAATAAAGATTAATATTTGAACATTTGTTTGAACAACATGGAAGTATAAAGCTTAAAAAAAGAAATTGATTAACTATCTCAGAACTCAAGAACGTAGAATATTTAAACATTTAAAGGGTCCTATAGAAAGGAAACAATTAACAATATCAGAATACAAGTGGATAAGATGTTCTAACACACTTGAATAATTGTAATCTTAGACCTTAGAAGAACAACTGAAGAATAGATATAAGACAAAGAAAAACTTAAAGAACATTGTTTGAATAGATATATTTAATGAAAGAGAAGTATTCCAAATATTTCAAATCATATTTATTGTTGGTTTGAAGGTTAGTTTTTGAGAAATGTTATGTGACAAGAAACTAAGTTCTCTGAAGAAGGTTTAATTACTGGTTTATCGAATGTGTTTGTCTGTGTATTAATTGTCTTATTGATTTGAAGTTTATGATGTTTCGATATTATCATTAGCAGTTGCCGTATTTGACCACTGGACTTTCAGGCTTATCATGATATAGAAAAAGAATCACGTGATTACCTCCAGAAGATAAACAAGAAGTTAAAACGATCGAAGTTGATGCGACGTTGGTTGTACATATTACTGACTCAGATCATATATTAAAATAAAACAGACTCGTTCATATCATTTTCAGAGAATTCCTAACGGTGTAGAAACCAATCGAAAAGTTATTTTGAAAGTTATTTTTGACACTTTTTACAACTTATTAATAATATTTATTACTTTAAATATTTTTATTATCTTACTGTTCTTTTGTATGAATGAAGTTATGAATCATTAAATGTCATCTTTGTTGATTCAACTGAAAATTTTAATGTAAAACCAAAAAAATGCTGAAACCTGATCAATTTGAGAGAGACAAAATTTGGAATATTTAGTTTTAAAATAAATTACTTTAGTATAAGAGGTGTTGTATAAGAAAGAGTTAGAGTTTGGATTGTGTGTTTAAATCCTGTTCCAGTAAAAAGTTGTGTTAATCTTAATCCTGTTATTGTTTCAGTCTACTTAAAACAATGATGTTTTTTCGGTTCTGTATATTTAAAAAACTCATCTTTGTTTTTACTCAATAACTTAAGCTAACCTTAACAATATCCTTAATAATAAAGAGGGTTATTGTCTTATTAAACTTTCCTATACAAAACCGAATGTCTAAAATAAATTAAAATTCAAACTATAGGTTAATGGTATCAATTCCATGTCCGAGTTCCTTTCAGTAAAACATTTATATTTTGTAATTATTTCATTTTGTCAAGCATAGAAACTCTGTTTTTTTAAATACCGGTTCGTTCACTAATTTTATTTTTATATTTCGTAAACTGTCAGAAACAAACTTCTACAATGTTCTTTACTTTATAGTAAGAAGAAAAAAGAAGTCTTTAAAAATAATAAAATTCGTCTTTATTTGGCTTGTTTTATGGATTGGTCCAAGTTTTGGATCAGTGACCGTCCAGAAACTGTGTGAAGAGACGTCAATAACCGGAATAGTTGCGTCTTTAGCCAAATAAAACCTGAAAACCAGAGGTAAAAGTTTTGAGAAAGTTTATCTAGAGGTGTAAATATCTTATATAAAGGTGTAAATACTTTTCATTAATTAATTTAGAATTAAGTTAATTTATCAGCTTTTTTCGTCATCTTGTGTAGGGCAATTTTTCAGAGAAATCATCTGGTCCAAATTATTAATGTTGTTGTTGAATGATGGTATTGTTAAATATGAAAGATGTATTGTTAGAAACGTGTATTGTTTTTCACATTACCTGTTGAATAATAGTATTGTTTAATATAAGGAATTTTACAGTCCAATATTTAAAGTTATTTGGTTAACTTGTTGGTTTGTTTGTAGTAAAGCACAAAACTACACAACTGTTCTGTACCCACCGAGAGTATCGAAACCCTGATTGTAGCGTTGTAAGTCCCCAGACACACATCTGAGTTTATGTCTGTTCTGTGTGGGGATGGTTACTTTGGTTAGCATAACACTAAATATTTGTTCCTTTTTTTTGGTTCTTTCTCTCGTCTTATCAGACAAACGAAGTTCGTATTTAGAGTTTAAAATGAAACGTTATTACTATAAATTTATAAAATTATTACTTAGTTTAAAATATAAAAAAATAGATAAAATATAAATAAAATTATTTACACGATAAACGATTAACAGATAGATAATATATATTTTAATTTTAGTCTATGTATTTAAATATATAAAGGGTGGAGCAGAAGAAATTACAAAGTTATTTATTTTAGAAATATTATAATATATAACATTTTACTCTGAAATAAACAACAATTAAATTGGTTTCCACTGTCTTTGTAACATTTTCTATGGGCCAAGCTGTATGATACCAACTATACTAACCGTATAATACACATTGTACTAACTGTACATTAATATACGAATCTATAACTTCAACATAAAATTCGTGTTGAACTATATATACTGATACACATATCAACTAGAGGAATAATTATTATTGAATAAAGAAACAACAGAACTACAAACTATGTCACACTTGTCTTCAAAGTTTCAACCCAATACCAAATTCATATATATCAGTATCTCTGGATAACAAATCAACTAACAAGTTCTTTGTCCATATATTTATATATGTTGAACCACCTCAGTTCAATAGCGTGAAGATTATATCTTTCTATTTTTGAAAATCTAATCCATCAGGAATCGGACCGCATATGTCCACTTTTATCTCCTGGACCAATCGATTGTGCTGATGTTCTGCTTAATGGACACCTTACCAGTGGATCGTATCGTATCTGACCCAAGTCATGGATCACTACAGGAAGTTTCTATGTTTATTGTGACATGGATACTGATTTTAGGAGGCTGGACGGTAAGTAACGTTTATTATAGATAATATCATATAAAACTATTATATGTAAAAACATATATATTAGGTTTAATTATAACAGTAAACTTACAAGTTCTCCATTTTCTGTTTCTAAGGTAATCCAAAGATGATGACACCACGGAAACCCAAAGGATTACTTTTTCAAACCTTGGGCAGATTACAAAGTAGGATTTGGAGACATTCAGAAGGAATTCTGGTTAGGTAAGTTCTGATTAGGATTTTAACAGATGGTGTTAAAGATACAAAAGGCCTTTATAGGCAGATGCTCTTTAAATTTTTCAAACCAGATAGTGTTAAAGATACAGAAAGTCTGTATAGGTAGGTTCTGTTTTCAGTTTTTAAACAGATGGTGTTAAAGATACAGAAAGTCTGTATAGGTAGGTTCCGTTTTCAGTTTTTAAACAGTTGATGTTAAAGATACAGAAGGTCTGTATAGATAGGTTCTGTTTTCCGTTTTTAAATAGGTAGTGTTAAATATACAGAGTGTTTGTACAGGTAGAATGGATTCTTATTCGACAAGTACTCTTACCTGAAAACAAGAAATATTGTACTTTTGTTACTTGTAATATAGATTCTTTTATTACCAATTCAAGCCACTCCAAACTATATTTTCTAAAAGTGGTTTCCTCATCATCAAACTAGGATAAACAATATAAGGACGTTAACAATACATTTCTCTTCCAACAATGTAGTTTTTATTTGGATAATGAACAAGTCTTTCTTAATGATTTTTTTCAGCAGACGAAGCAATAGTTTGTTGTATCATTTCAATATTTGCTTCTTTGTTTTTGTCTGCAGTGGACTCTTTTTTTTATGCAGCTTGGAAAAGGTTTTTTCTTGAACGCAGTTAGCTTAATGTTTATTTTAAAGTAATCCTACCCGATTTAAATATTGTCCATAATTTAGTATGAAAACGTTTTGTGTAAAATCAAACTGATTCATTATTAATTTGTAGGATTTGATGTATTTAATTATTTATTATCTTTCTTTTATATTGCTAAACTCTGTTTTAGTGAATGTATCTAGACATTATATAATAATGTCATAATTTGCCTTGTACCTTATGTATTACTGTTGTAATTTGTCTTATACCTTATGTATTACTATCTACTATTATCTGTAGTATTTTGTAATCAATGATCGCGACAATAAAATTAATATTTATTTGTGGTTCCATATACATTATGTATGGAATACAATTAGCTGAGGTGAGTCATTCCAAGACTTTCATATTGATTACTGATTCTATAACTAGTTGTATTGAGAAAATTCCTTATTTTTCAACATATAAGCCTGCAGTGAAATGGCTTACTACAATCCATTTAAATTATAGATAGCTTAAAACAACGTTAGTTGAAACATTCATCTGCCTACTGCCGACTCAAATTTCAAATTTGGCCTTAACACTAAATAATTCATGATTCATCGTCTACAATGTAGTTCTGAAGTATCTGTACCTCGTCAACAATCTTTTACTGAGATAGTTGTACCTCATCAAAAATTTCAGTAACTCATTAACAGTTCAGTTCTGGAGTCATTCTTATATATGTTTGGCATCTTGTAAGCCATTAAAAACTTTAAATATTCCTGAGGGTTTTGCATTAACCCTTGTAGTGTATGGAGGGTGGACATACAAGATGGATGTAGGGTGAACATACAGGATGGATCGCGAGTGAACATACATGACAGATGTGGGGAGGACATACAGGATGAATGTAGGATGGACATACAGGACAGATGTGGGGTGGACATACAGGATGAATGTGGGGTGGACATACAGGATGGATGGCGGGTGAACATACAGGACAGATGTGGGGTGGACATACAGGATGAATGTAGGGTGGACATACAGGATGGATTAAGGGTGAAAATACAGAACGGATGTAGGGTGGACAAGTTCAAATGTGGCCAGGTTACTTTTCACGGAAGATTCTATATATTCTTTATATTGATAGGGGACTCATTCTGTTACCACAACGAGTTCAGGTTTACCACAAAAGACAATGATAATGATATTGATGATTTTAATTGCGCCCAAACCTTTAAAGGAGCTTGGTTGTACAAGAATTGTCACGGTTCCAATCTTAATGGACTCTACCTGAACGGTAAACACGAAAGTTATGCTGATGGCGTGGAATGGAGCGATTGGAAAGGACAGAAATACTCCCTTCCAGACGTGGAGATGAAGATTCGATCCCTGTTCTAAGTCCTCTGTAACACATTAGTAACAATAACCAATGTAATTTTCTGTTACAAACACGTCATTGAGCTATGGTTCTACTTCACTTCTGTTTTTCCATAATTACGAGATTATTAAAAACTTATCAGTAACAATCGGACTAAGAAACTGTACAAATTATTTCATTTTAATGGTACTTGTCACGTGAATGTGAAGGTAATCATTAAAAAAATATTTTAAAATGCAAAGCATTTTACAAAACAAGTAAGACTGATTATGTTTTAAAGTGAATTTAATACATAGAGGTATTTACATAATAAAATTCATAACAGATAATGTTATCGGTAGGTGTCTAAAGCGTTCCATGTCTTTAACATCCACTTGACTCAAAGTTCTGTATAAATATTTGTAAATAAAATACTTTTTTCGTATATCACAATAAGGTTATCAATAAGGTTGTCTACTTTTACTATACGTGATTCATATGATTATATTATATCACGTGACGCTGTCACCCAAGAGGTATATTGTAACCAGGTGATTCACGCAATGCTGTTACCCGATAGGTATGAAAATTAAAATACGTGATTGACTCAGTATCTACACGATACCAAGAAGGGAGATATACAAATAAGATGACCTGATAGACTTAGTAACTGCAGAATACCCCAACTGGAGATATACAAATAAGATCACATGAATGACTCAGTATTGAATACCGCTATAAAATGATAGTTGTTTCTTCGCTGTTTGCAAGATCTTAGAATGAAGTAAGAAAAGAAAGTAAGATATTATAATTAAGTTATCCTAGAAAATATTTAGATTTTATTTTAATTTAATATAGAGATATATATGGTTACGTATCTGCTTTTCGCTAAATTTCAGTACAAATTTTACAGGACGTTTCTTCTTTCATCTGCTCCATCAGGAAATGTGCCATTATCGGTAGCAGTCACATTAATGGTAGTAACTTCATTAACGGCTTCACTGTTTTCCCTCTAAAAACCGAGTAGAAATTCTTCTTCAACAGTGGCTTCTTCTGGTGATACGTCTTCAGCAGCATCATTTGTCCAGTTGTTCATTTCGTTCCAACTGAAATGTCCTCGCCGACCAAATTTTATTCGGAAAGGCACATCTGAGAGACGATCCACTATGTCATATAGACCTTCCCATGGAGAAGACAACTTAGGAAACTTCCCTTTGGTCTTCCTTGGATTATACAACCACACCTTGTGTCCTGGTACAAAGCTGACTTCAGTACATCTCTTATCATAACATAGCTTCATGGAATCAGCAGACGTTTATTAGTTTCAACACACTTGATGATGAATATCATCCATCCTTTCAGATAAAACTTTCACAAACTCTGGCCCATTTTCAGGCAACTCTTCGTAAGGTGGGCATCCTGTTATCAGTTCAACCGTCAACCGAAGTTCCCAACCAAACATCAGCTCTGCTGGAGTGAATCCAGTGGCTTCATGCTCTGCTGTTCTATAGGCCATCAACAATGGAGGGAGTAAGACATCCCAGTCATCTTGGCGGCTATAACAAAACTTTGCCAATTACTGTCTCAGTGTCCAATTTTACTTTTCTGCCATTCCGTCAGACTGTGGATGAAGTGGCGTTGTCCTGGTCTTTCGTATGCCAAACAACTTACAGCATTCATGGAACACATCTGACTCAAAGTTACGGCCTTGATCTGAATGCAATTCGTATGGCATACCAAACCTGAGAAAGAAATCACTAATAGCCGAAGCTACAGTTCTAGTTTCCTGATTTGGTATTGCATATGCCTCAGACCACTTGGTAAAATTTGAGCACGTCCCTTATGCTTGGGTCCCTTTTTTGCACAACATGCACTGCAGGTTCTGCACCATTCTTTCACATATTGCATCATACGTATAAAGTAAAATTACTGTCGTAAGTGACTACATGGCATTTTAACTCCAAGATGTTCTCCTGTTGAACACAGCAAAACTTTCTGTAACTTTCTCGGTATAACTGTTTGCCAGGTTGTCACTTTCTCATCTGCAGTTTCCAATTTCCGGACAAGAATACCATCTTCAAGCTTCAACTACTAATTGTATTCAATCATTTTGATGTCCTAATCCATTTATTATATTAGCTATAGTCCATCCTTTTGGAATCACAATACATCCATGTTACAAGCAGCAGTCCATCATTTTGTTGTCGTAGTCTATCCACACTACTAGCTGTTGTCCATCTTTTTGGTATCGTAATCCATCCATACTACAACCTGTAACCTATGTTGTTATTACATTGATCCATCCATACTACGAACTGTATTCCATTCTTTTGGTATCCTAGTGTATCTATAATGCTAGCTATAGTCCATCCTTTTAGTATCTTAATCCATCTATACTACTAGCCGTAGTCTGTATTTTAATTACTGTGATCCATCCTTATTACTAGCTGTATTCTACCCTTTTGGTGTCATATTCCATTCATATTACTAGCTGCAATGTATGTTTTTATTACAGTGATCCGTCCTTTGTTTTGGCCATATACAAAGCTTTTTTGTGTTTATGTTAAAATGATCCATCTGAATAATGAGTTATTCCATTGAATTTGTCACCATGATCTCTCCACATAGTGAACAAAAACCAGTCTTTTTGCTAGTTTCCGTCCATAAGTTTGATAAGGCTTGTCCGTGGTTGGTACATGTACCGAATGGAAGCCTTTTTTACCGCGATCCGCCTTTTTATAGAATACAGCGTATCTATCCGTTAGTACACAGACATAAAATTTACCTTTTTGTCACAGTGATATATATATATATGTATTAATCTATGGCCAGTCTTCTTGTTAAAGAAACTTTAAAAAGTTGGAAACTAAACTGAAACTTGTATATTTCTAAAGTTGTAACGATATTTAAATCTATAAGGAAGACAGAATAATTATAATCTGAATAAAAAACAAACGATAAATTCTATATATAAAAATGACAAACATTCCTTATAGTTATAGCTGTTGGGAAACAACTTTATTTTACTCTACCATAAAATATAAAATAATATATATTTATTTAGCTATATTCATTTACATGTCTCTAATGTTTCGTTCTTAACACCTAGATGGTGTGATATTACAGTGGATTGCTTAGATCATAATTATCAGATTATCAGGTTGTAATTGATAATCCTTGTTTGTGACAAAGTATTTTTTGATAACTTATTTTTTTAAGTTATACAAGTACATAAACAATATTATCACCTTTTAATTAAAAATTAATGAGATTATTTATTCATCCAATATATATATAAATATGAAAAACATGTGATTCCAAAAGTTTAGTTTTCTCGTCCTAGATTATAACGTTTTATAAACAATTAGAATACTCATCATTTCTTCATTATCATTGTGTGGAACGTATTATTATTTAATATTATAGTGTCTAATAAAATAAAATGTAAAAGTGGTTCCTGTGATTGATCGTTTGAAGTTAGTGACGTCACATTATATGAAATGCACACTAGCAAACGTGATCCGAAAGGACACCACAATGGCTGGAAGGAGAACGTGTAGTTTCACTGGGTCTAAAGTCATACAGATTGTGTGTGAATGAAATTAATAAAATAAAATATCTATATTCATGTTTCAGTTTTTGTTCTTCTTCACATATCTGTACATATATATATCTAATTTACAATTTAATATCTATAGCCCTTAAATTGACACTATAAATAATATCACATTAGCTGCGGACAATAAACTACATTCATGCAAAAAATAATAATTTATTTACATTTCAATTATATTTATTTTGTTATTATCTTTATGAAATGGATGTACTTATTATTAAGTATTGTTACTTTGATAAGTTGTTATACTGTATACGAAACATGTTATTCAGACACAAGTCAATGATACCAATATTAAAAAGTAAAATACAGCGTTTATCAGAAAAGTTTTCTTTACATATAAGTCATACAATTACATAGATAAAAAAATGTAATTCATCAGAAAACTCTACGTGGAAACAATTTCAGTGATAGATGTAATGCTTTCAAAACAGATCACAGACACCAAATCAACTAAGTAAAAACATAAACATTTAGACCCTTTCAATTTTTATAACAAAAATAATGTCACATCTTATGTGTTTACTATTTTTGTGTAGAAAATTTCGATTAATTAATTTAAGATTTTTACCACTTTATTAAAATATTTGGTTACTATAGGTTTTGTTCTAAAACATAAATAATTCATATCAAACATTCATATTTTTATAAATTTTGTATTTTCCTGAAATATATTTTGATCTAACGTATTGAAAGATATGTAAAAGTAGAATAATTAGAGAAATATTTCTTAAACATCATACAGTGGTAGTAATACGTGTATACCTACTGTGTATACTCTTTTTATACACTGAACGTAGAATTTATACAAACTATTCGTTAATTTATATTTGTATTATATTTTAAACATGATAAGAAACTATCTTCATATGTTAATATTCATAAAATCATTAGACTTTAGGTAAATAAAGTCTTGGAAAATCATTATTGCCAAGTCTTTTAACCATGTTAAATATCAGTTGTGTAACAATGTTCACAAAGCCTTATTTCAATGTTGTGTAACTTTGTTCACAGAGATTATTTCACTCTTGACGTGTTAGCTTATTAAAAATATTTTCTAAGACTGTAGCTAAAGTTAAGTAACTAACCGTTTACAAAAATACATATTTTTATTTATTTAATATTTTTCTATTTTGAACATCGTTACATTTTTACTGGTGTTGAAATATTGTTATTTTTATTTAGAAACATTTGAGAAAAAACCGTTTAGAAGTAAAAATAATAATTAATTTCAAAATATATAAAATTGTTATACTATATAGCATAGAAAATTAGGCATATTTGACCATTTGTATTTAACTTACGAAGGTTTCGATAGATAGGTCAAGTTAATGACTAAACGTAAACCAGTGAAATAAAAAAACAGTTATTTATAAATTATTTTCTAAAATACAGTGTCAGTATTATACAAATACAGTTTCTTTCTCTGTACATCTTTATATTTAGTGTTTCCTCGTTTCATTTACAAACTGTATTCTGTATTTTACATAAGGAAACATCAACTTGCACGATGACTTGGTTACAAGCAATTGGAACATGAGG